CACCGCCGGGAATCGAACCCGAGACCCCAGTATTACAAGGCCAGCGTTCTAGATAATATTAAAATGAATGTTACAGAAACAGTGTCTGATGACTGCGGGATGAATTAAATTGGTTTAAAATAAGGTCTAAAAACCGAGCTTCTGTGATAGTAAAATGACCAACCATGGGGTTTTTATAAAAACGAACGTTATTTTCCATAGCATCTAATATTTCGAGGCACCCCGTTCAACTGGAGAAGTCATAATGATACAGAGGGAGGTGGTGTGTGTGATGGAGGATTAGAGTATAAACAGAGTTGAATGATGGGTAGTGATGAGGTAAAATGGATCCATGGAGAGGCCAAGAATCCACCGGATCGGATCCCTTGCCTCGTTACTCCCATTGTCCAGTAAGTACGAGGGTCGCTCGGAACATTTACAGAAGAGAAGGAGGGCGGGTATATTTGGGGGGCTAATATAATGGGCCCCTCAACTTGTGTTATTAACACGGTGCCTATACCCGCAGGGGAGGAACAAAAGAACAGTAGCTTACAGTAAAGACACTTGGATAATTTGTTAACTGGAGCGATCATGTCCAGCGGAGGGGAACGCGGGACGTCTCTCTGTCCCTAGGGAGACGCTCAAGTACGAACAAATCAATGAAGACGAAACTAGTGCACCGACAAACAATAACAAGACACTTCAGTTAAGGAAGGTGTCGCCAGAGGAAGTTCTAAATCACTTACAAGCTAGTTGATTCAACGCGATACAAAGCAAAACACGCTAGCATTATTTTACGAAGACGATGAGTTGGGAGGGGTATGTAGCACGCACAGGGAGATGAGAAATGCGTTCAAAATTTTGGTTGGAAATCCTGAAGGGAATAGACCACTAGAAATAACCGGGTGTAGATACAATATTAAAATGAAACTTAGAGAAACAGGGTGTGGGGTGTGTGTAATGGATACACCTCGCTGACAACAGGGGAAGGTCATGGAATCTCGTGAACACAGTAATGAACCTCAGGGTTACAGAAAAGGCAAGCAATTACTCGATTAAATGAGCGTACTACCAGCTTAACGCCACGGTGAGAATGCTGGCCTTGTAATCCTGGGGGTTTCGGTGCCCGAATTTATAACTTGTGTTGGGCAAGGCCGTGGTCTAGGCAACACGGAGTTTTCCTCCGGGGGCTTCCCCGGTTTCTCCGTGGCATCCCAACAATTACTCCATTCACACACAGAAGAAGGCAATGGCAAACCACTTCTGGATCATCTGCCAAGAACGTATATGAACAGGTCCCAGTCCGAGAAAAGGATGGAAGGATCCTGTTCATATGGACCTGTCGTCAGACAGAACACTAAATAATACTACCAGCTTATCAACAAGGACTCCGCTCTATGAACACAAACCTTACTTTTCTTTATCCAATTTCCAAATTCTGGTGGAAAGTGAACCACTCAGTGGCCTGATGTAAAGGAAATCAACCAATGGCAAGTCCACCACTCCAAAAAAAGTAAACTCTCTTTTAGAGGTATCCTCGGTTCACATGCAGCGTTAATAGGACGAAGTAATGGCCGATGGATATTAATCAGCAAGGACTTACCTGTGATGTTGTTGAGTTCCCGTGTATGCCTGCTGGTCCAGAATCAAATCCAGATCCACCCTACAAATTGGAGAATAAAATGTATTTCAACTGCATTGAGAAGAGAATTTAATAAAAACTTTAAATCACTATGGAACATAATAGATACTAATTCCGGTTATCTTGCATGAAGCATTATGAGTCTACTATAAAATAATCTTCCCTAAACGTAATATACGGCAGATATGAATACTAGTGGTTGAGATTACGCAAAAATTAAAAATACATACACAGAAATTAAAAATATATGTCCTTACCTACAAAGCGTGGTTTCCACAAGCTCTGCAGCGCCATTAATACCCCTGCAGGAGAACAGAGATAACACTTAAGTAAGGGGGAAACAGTCAAATGAAAACAATTTTCTTAAAAAGTTGATAGTTGTTTAGATGGTCAGAAAAATCCGTCGCGTTCAAACCAAGAATTGTATTACGGTGGGCCCTGACCTAAAATAGTCGAATCGATTCCACACATTCACGTCATATTTTCTGATATTCATTTTAATATTATCCTGTAAACTATACAGTCTCCCAAATGGTTTTGTACCTCAAGTATTCTACCGGAAACTATGTATGTAGTTCTAATCTGGCCCACGCATGCTACACATCCCGTCCATCAACTATGATTTAATGACCTTAATATTTGAAGATCAGTACAAATTACGACACAAAAAGGATTTTTCTCCAGAGGCGGTCAGTGTGGCTACCACCTCGTAAGCACTTAACAAAAACAAAAAAATCAGGAAAAGTAGAGTATTTTAATCTCATGGCGTACGTATTGAGTTTCTTACAGAATCTGATCGGCGAGTAAAATTTTATCTTTGCATGAAAGTATAAAATGTATTTTCAATTAAAGAAATATATATATAAATAGGTGTATTTATTTTATATTTTCCGGTACCACCAACTTGCAAATACATAAAAAAATGTTCTTAATTCATTTTGTCAAACTATTTTTATATAATTAATACTTGTTTTTTATAATTTTTTTTGTTCAATTTTTATCAGTCTAATCACAATAAAATATTATTATTAAATATTAAAATATTATTACAATTAACATTTAAATATTTAAAATATATTAAAATGATGCTCTCTATCGAAAGCATCATGCTCTAATATAAATCGAACATTTCGATAGAGAGCATTATTTTAATATATTTTAAATATTTAAATGTTAATTGTAATAATATTTTAATATTTAATAATAATATTTTATTGTGATTAGACTGATAAAAATTGAACA